GGAGAGCTGTCTAGGGCTGGTGTAGCTATTTATGATCTTGATTTTGATGCTATTCTCTCTGCTATGTATGCTGCGATTGGTAGTGATGAGGATGACTGTTACCGGTGTTTCCCGCCTGACCCGGGCATTGGTACTGCCGCGTCAGGTACTAGTGAGGCTGCTGCTCTAGGTGCCAGTGCGTCTGTGCTCTCAGGTGCTGGTGAGTCTGCCCTCTCAGGTACTGTGTCGGCTTCGGCCTCTCACACCTTCACCCTTGACTCTGGAGCGTCTCGCTCCTTCTTTCGGGACCGCACCACTCTCACGCCGCTGAGTCGGCCGGTTGCGGTGTCCCTGGCTGACCCCTCTGGGGGGCCTGTCCTGTCTCGCTTCTCCACTGTCCTCCCGTGTCCGGCGGCCCCCTCTGGCACCCTGACTGGTCTTTACCTCCCCTCGTTCTTGACGAACTTGGTGAGTGGTGCTGACCTCCAGGATGCGGGTGTCCACCAGTTCACCCCTGCTCGTCAGCGAGTGACCCACTGCACGGAGGCGGATACAGGTCGCAACCTGGCTACGTTTACACGTCGGCCAGGGTCGAGCCTGTACACACTGACCACTGCTTCTCCTCCAGGTGCTGAGTCTGGTAGGGTCACTTCGTCTGGTCAGGTGTTTGCTGCAGCGTCCAGGTCTGGTCCTGAGTCTGCCCCCTGCTCGTGCCGTCGTCTGTCTCACGAGACCCTCCTCTGGCACCACCGCCTTGGCCACCCCTCTCTCCTTCGGCTCAGAGGCATGGCCTCGCGAGTCCTTGTGTCTGGTCTTCCCCGGTCTCTCCCTCCCCTCCCTCCGGGCCCTGGCCCCACCTGTGTCCCCTGTGTCGAGGGGCGCCAGCGTGCTACCCCTCACTCCTCCCAGTTTCCTCCGACAGAGGCCCCGTTGCAGACGCTTCACATGGATGTGTGGGGCCCAGCCCGCGTCCGTGGACAGGGTCAGGAGCGCTACTTCCTGCTGGTGGTTGACGACTACTCGCGTTACACCACAGTCTTCCCCTTGCGCAGCAAGGGTGAGGTCACTGCGGTGTTGATCGACTGGATCCGCACAGCTCGTCTCCAGCTTCGGAGGAGCTTTGGCTCTGACTTCCCTGTTTTGCGTCTGCACTCGGACAGAGGCGGAGAGTTCTCCTCTGGCCTCCTGAGTGCCTTCTGTCGTGCGCGAGGCATCCGTCAGACCTTCACGCTTCCGGACTCACCGCAGCAGAATGGGATTGCTGAGCGCCGCATTGGCATGGTCATGGACGTCGCTCGTACGTCCATGATGCATGCGGCTGCTCCCCATTTTCTGTGGCCGTTTGCGGTCAGGTACGCTGCGCACCAGATCAACCTCCACCCCAGGGTCTCTCGACCGGAGACCTCCCCAGCCCTGCTGTGGACTGGGAAGGTTGGCGATGCGTCGGCGTTCCGGGTCTGGGGATCTCGGGCGTTTGTTCGCGACCTGTCTGCGGACAAGCTGTCCCCTCGTGCTTCTCCCTGCGTCTTCCTGGGGTTCCCCCCCGACGCCCCTGGGTGGCAGTTTTACCACCCCACCTCTCGACGTGTTCTGTCCTCCCAGGACGTCACGTTCGACGAGTCGGTACCCTACTACCGCCTCTTCCCCTACCGCACTCCGTCCCTCCCCCCACCCCCGCTCTTCTTGGTACCAGGTCCCCCCCCGGTAGTCCCCCTCCCCCCTCAGGGTCCTGCCCCTTCAGGTGTGTCCCAGGTAGACGCGGTCGAGCCTGTCGAGGTCACTGGTGACTCTGGTGCTGCTGCGGGAGCTGAGCCTGGGGGTGCGGAGTCTGGGGGTGCTGAGCCTGGAGGTGCCGAGTCTGGGGGTGCTGAGCCTGGGGGTGCTGAGCCTGGGGGTGCTGTGCCTGGGGGTGCTGAGCCTGGAGGTGCCGAGTCTGGGAGTGCTGTGCCTGGGGGTGCTGAGCCTGGGGGTGCTGAGCCTGGGGGTGCTGTGTCTAGGGGTGCTGAGCCTGGAGGTGCTGTGCCTGGGGGTGCTTCGTCTCGCCGGGAGCCACTCTCCCCACAGGAGCTGCGTGAGTGGTTTGCCGGGCGCTGGAGGCGTGCTGCTGGTGCAGAGGGTACTGCTGCTGCGCGCCCCGCCGGCGCTCGTACTGTGGGTGCTGGAGCTGCTGAGTCTGAGACTTCTCCTGGAGCTGGTCCTGCTGAGGGTGTTGGCGCTGAGCCAACCGTTGGCGGCACGACTTACAGTGCTCCTGGTGCTGCGGCTGGAGGTTCTGGAGCTTCTGGTGGTGCTGCTGGAGGTGCTGCTGCAGTGGGTGCTCCTGCCGGGGCTGTTGGTGCTGTTCCTGCTGTTTCTAGCGTCATCGCGCGGCCCCGACCGTACTTCGTTCCGCTCCTGCAGCAGGTTCTTGGTCTTACACCTCCTCCTCCTCCCTTAGAGGGTCCGCAGCCTGTCCGGTCACAGCCACAGCTACAGCCTGCCTCCCCTTTGCCTGCTCCTTCTCCCTACGCTGGTCCGACTGGAGGTCTTACTGAGCGTCGTGAGCCTGCGTCTCGTCCTGTGTCGCCTGTTCGTACTGAGCGCGCTAGTGGTCGCGGCTCGCGTCAGCGTCCTCCTCCTGTCCCTGGCACGCACCGGATGTCACTGCGTCCGTCCACTGCTCCTCTGCGTGCCCCTTTGCCTTCTCCTCCTGCTTCCTCTCTTCCTGCTCTTGCCGACCCGGAGTCGGACGCTCTTCGTGCTGCCAGTCCTACTGTCACGCGTCTCCTGGCTACTGCTGTCACTGACCCCTCCTTCGAGTCGTCTGCTGCGTCTGCCCTTGTCACTGAGCTTGTCGACTTTGCTGCGCGCTGTCGTCTAGACTACGCTGCTCGTCTTGTCACTGAGTCTGAGTCCGCCTGTCCTCCGTCCGTCGGGGGTGAGTGTGCCCTTGGCACGGACGTCCTTGAGGACAGGCAGGAGGAGTTCCAGTGTCTGGCCGCCGCTTCACCTCGTCTCGCGTCTGTACTGCTAGCCCCTGAGGGAGACCCGGATGCACCAGACATCTCGACTCCGAGCTCTTACGCGGAGGCGATAGAGGGTCCCTACTCCTCTCAGTGGCAGGCAGCTATGGATGCAGAGATGGCTTCCTGGAAGTCCACAGGCACCTACGTTGACGCAGTTCCCCCTCCTGGGGCGAACATCGTCAGTGGCATGTGGATTTTCAGGGTGAAGCGGCCGCCGGGTTCTCCGCCTGTCTTCAAGGCGCGTTACGTGGCTCGTGGCTTCAGTCAGCGGCAGGGGGTTGACTACTTTCAGACCTTCTCCCCCACCCCGAAGATGACCACTCTTCGGGTTCTGCTACACGTTGCTGCTCAACGTGACTACGAGCTGCACTCTCTCGACTTCAGCACAGCTTTCTTGCAGGGCAGCCTGCACGAGGAGATCTGGCTGCGCCGCCCACCTGGCTTCACTGGGTCTTTCCCTCCTGGTACCCAGTGGAGTCTCCGGCGTCCAGTCTACGGTCTCCGCCAGGCGCCACGTGAGTGGCACGACACACTGAGGACTACGCTCGCGGCACTTGGGTTTGCTCCTTCCACTGCCGACCCGTCGCTGCTTCTGCGCACCGACACCTCTCTGCCGCCGTTCTACATCCTCTTGTACGTCGACGACTTGGTCTTTGCCACAGCTGACACTGCTGGACTCGCCTACGTGAAGTCCGAGCTGCAGAAGAGACACACGTGCACTGACCTGGGTGAACTGCGCAGCTACCTTGGCTTGCAGATCACCCGGGACAGAGCACGCCGCACCATTACCCTGACTCAGTCACACATGGTGCAGCAGGTCCTTCAGCGCTTCGGCTTCACGTACTCCTCGCCTCAGGCCACTCCTCTGCCTACTCGCCACTCGCTCTCAGCTCTGCCTTCGGATGAGTCCGTAGAGTCGAGTGGCCCGTTTGCAGAGCTTGTTGGCTGCCTCATGTACCTGATGACCTGCACACGACCTGACCTCGCATACCCTCTTAGCATTCTCGCACGCTTTGTTGCTCCTGGGAGACACCGACCAGAGCACATGGCTGCAGCGAAGAGGGTGTTGCGCTACTTGTGCAGTACGTCGGGCATGGGGCTAGTGCTTGGAGGGCGCAGTCCAGTGGTCCTCACTGGGCACGCAGACGCTTCTTGGGCTGACGACCAGGCTACGCAGCGGTCGTCACAGGGTTACACCTTCAGCCTTGGTTCCGGCTCTGTCTCGTGGCGGGCTACCCGCTCGTCTTCTGTTCTCGGCTCCAGTTGTGAGGCTGAGATCTACGCTGGGGCTATGGCTGCACAGGAGTTACGCTGGCTCACCTACCTGCTGACCGACCTTGGAGAGCAGCCTCGTTCTCCTCCAGTCCTGTACGTAGACAACAAGGCCATGCTGGCCTTGTGTCGAGAGCAGCGACTGGAGCACAGAAAGAAGCACATTGCTCTTCGCTACTTTCTTGCTCGTGAGCTACAGCAGCGTGGACAGCTGCGACTTGCGTACGTGGCCTCTGAGGCCAACACTGCTGATGTCTTCACCAAGGCACTTGCGCCTTGTGATCATCAGCGTTGCTGCACGCAGTTGGGTCTTGTGCCTGTCTTGCCTCACTTGCTCTCCTCTTGACCTTGCTTGTACTTTCGCATATATATACTCTTGCTCTTGTATATCTCTATATATGATCTTGCATGTGAACTGGCCTTGTGGCCTTTGAACTTGTGCTCGGAATGCGTGGTGACTTTGTGATCCACCCTGAGCTTTGCTTTGCTTTGCTTGACTGGTCTTGTGACCCCTTGTTCTCCCCCACTTTGCCTATGGGGGTGTGTCAGAACTCATAGCTTACTTGTTTGTGTAGGCTATAGTGGGGTATCTCATAGGGGGTACAACCCAATTAGGGTTTCCTATTTGTACTCACTTCGTTCATAGTCATTCCATTCTCGTTCTTTGTTTTCACACGTTCCACTGTCGGCCGCATCTTGAAGAGCGCCGAGCTATGGGATGTTACGGCAGGTAGCGACAACCAAATGCGACGTCGAGGTGGCGCATGGCCTGAGCTGGAGCAGGCCATGGCGCGGTGGATCGCAAACGCTGGGCCCGCTGGCGTGCCTCTGACGCTGCAGACCATCCGCGACCATGTCGCCACGATGGCACGGAACATGGGCATTCCGCCCACATTCCGATGCTCCATAGGCTGGGTGCGCCGTGCTTTGAGGCGCCAGGGAGTGAGGTGTCGGGCAGCACAAGGCGAGGCGGCTAGTGCGGACATGGCCGCCGTGCGCCACGCACGTGAGAAGCTGCCGCAACTCCTCACGCATCTCGGTGTCACCCCGCGGGACACGTTCAACATCGATGAGACAGCGCTCTGGCTGTCGGTCCTCCCTCGGCGCACGTACAGCAACGGTCGGATTCCGGGCCGCAAACTTTCGAAAGAGCTGCTCACCGTGGCATTCCTCGTCAATGCTGACGGGAGCGACGTCTTCCGACTGGACGTCATCAGTAAGGCTAAGCGGCCGCACGACTTCCGCCCGGATTATGACCCGGAGTCCCTTTGCTACTCGCGGCACAACGCCAAAGGCTGGATGACCTCGCCGGTAAGGTCGTCGTTGTTCACGGTTTAACGGGTCGTTGATGCTTCGCAAGTATTACGCGTAATAGCGCACCTTACTGTAATGTGTTAAACGTATCAAAATTCACTTGTACATTCCGCCTTCCCTCCCATTCCCCTTCATGCAGTTATTCACGCATTTCATATCGCAGCTCAATGCTGCCATGTACGCAGAAAATCGCAAGATTTTGGTGCTGCTCGACAACGCGAGCAGCCACATGCTCCGCTCACAGCTCGCGTGGAGCGAGAACGTCTGCGGGAGGCGGAGGACCTGCATGAGCAACGTGCGGCTCGTTTTCTTGCCGCCGAATACCACCGCCTTCACACAACCGCTCGATCAGGGCATCATAGCCACCGTAAAAGCCCGCTACCGACAGCATTGGCTGCAGGCCTTCACGGCCTTGTGGAACGGCGAGGGCGCGACTACCGCCGTCGCCGGTTTCCGCCCCAATTTGCGCGATGTCCTCGCGTGGCTGTCGGACGCGTGGATGTCTGTCGGCGAGCGCACCATTCAACGGTGCTGGTGGCGCACGGGGTGTCTGCCGCTGTCATGGTCCTTGGAGCTGTCGCATGTACACGACGATGAGCCCACCCCTGCCGTCTACCCCGACATCGAGCTCGACGACGACATCGATGATGTCGGGACTCTCATCAGCGGCCTCGCACTCGGGAATGCGGCGATGACGGCCGCAGAGTACGTCGCCATCGACGACGGCGAGCCGACGAGCGCCGAGGGCGCTGAGGGACAGCCTCCGAACGAGCCGGAGTCGGGCGTAGACGCCGAGCTCTGGCAGGCGCCGACTACCATTCCAGCCGTCTACGACGACGCCGACCCCGTGTGCCGCGAAGCGCGCCGCACTGCCCGGGCGGCATGCGAGATGCTTATAGGATACGCTCGGGCCACCCGCATCACGCCGCGCGATCTGTGCCATCTATTCGATATACGCAACCCCATTATAATCGCGCGGATGGAGCGGGCTAGCCCGTCGTTCAACCTCAACGTGGCGCCTCAGCCCGTACCCTCCCCGGGCGCAACTCCCACGCCCGAGACCCATCGTCCGCGCGGTCGTGTGCTGCCCGACTGGATGACCCGCCCGTCTCGCCGTCAGGAGCTGTTTGACGCCGGTGTGGGCGCCGTGATGGACGGGTATGTGGACGCGGCTGAGTGGATGCGTATGTGAGGGTGGGGGTGGAGGAGACTTCGCAAGGTGTCGAATGCATTTTGATGAGAGCCCAAGTGTTCACTCCTTGTGCACATTTGTGTGTGTTTCGTTTGGTGTGTTGAATGGAGATGAGCTCCCAGGTGGAGGATGTTGATTGGAAGGTGTTCGTGTTTTACGTGTTTCGTACTACGAAGAACAATTGTTGCACATGCTTCTTTCGGTACTGTAGCGTTCGTTTAGTAACCATAAACACACAACATGGACAAGTGCTGCAACCCCATACTGTTGCTAATGAGACAAACAGGGTGGTTACCATGATCACTTTTGAAGCACGCTGGACGCCTGACGAAATTCACGAATACCCACGAAATGCAGTTTCAGCTTACAGTCCCAGTTCACAAGGCAACCGGGAGGGGCTCTAACGAGCATCAGCTGTACGTAACTTTCTCGAGAATGGTGTGGCTAGTGCTCTGTAACTTCCCGCATGATATGATCCTGTCGTGGTGTATGTCTGCACAGTAAATACGGCGGTGTCGTGAAGGTAGTGGTTTCGATATTGCAATTTGGTCCTTCCCACAGTCAATGCCACCTCTATTTCTGCTCGTCGCCTTATTCAAATGCATCGGTACAGAACGACGTGCCTGATCCATAGCGCGGAAAAAATCTGTAAAAGAGCCTATGTAAGGAAACTCGATCAGGGATAGTTGATCCTTGGTAACGAAGGATCAAAACCACTATGAACAGTTAATGCATGCGTCCTAAACCGTGGTGAATGCTCGTGAAGTGTTGCTGCTGTGTTATTCGTGGTTGATCTGACAACCGTGTATTCCGACGCAGCTCCAACCTGCCCGGCCCTGCAATTTCGATCCTGACATCTATAGCTCGATGCGTCTACCCCACTGCAAATTTGCAGTGTGGGCACATCGGTGTGCCGATCGATGTGAGGTCCAGATCCTAGCGAAATGAAAACATGTGCCGCGTCCTCAGCGAAACTGTAAAAACTCGTTACACTCACTCCCCGCCCGGCTACCTGGTGTTCTTCAAACTGGAATTGAGTGTACTTGAACTGTCTATGCGTGGCAAGGTTCGCAACACCTTGGGGCAGGCAACACCCCCTCAGTCGTGTTGTCGTCGAGAGTCATCTTGACGATCGCAGAAGCTTATTCTGACGGCTGCCGTACCGGTCAAATTGCGGGTTTGTCTGGTACCGCTCAGCCATTTGCGACTCGTTAAGCACCAGTGCAGTGCAGCATTTATGTCGCCGGTCGTCATCTCTTTATCCGTTTTACACATTACACTGTACAGTGCTCGCACAGAACTGGAACTGACGGCTTCCGTGCCGGTCAAACTACAGGTCGGCCGGTAGTCGATACACATTTGCCGTTTGCGACCTGTTGCGAATTTGGGTCGTTTGACCAATCGTGGGACAGATTTGCCATTTGCGAGGGTTGCGAAGTGGGGTTGTTTGACCAGCTGCGGAACATGTTTGCAATTTGCAACACCTTGCACATGTGCGATAATGGACCAATTGGATGGCGTTTCCAGACGTTTCCCCGTCGAGCTGGTTGGTCTTGTCAAAGCTTCAACTCGTCTTCCCCTGCATCTCGAATCGACACGCCCGTCGTGTCGGTTGTGTCTTGAAACGAAACGCGAGGAAACCGCTTTTGTCACACGCAACCGCTGGGGTGTCGTGCCGTTGTATGCTATTGGGGTGTCGTGCCGTTGTATGCTATTGGGGTGTCGTGCCGTTGTATGCTATTGGGGTGTCATGCCGTTGTATGCTATTGGGGTGTCGTGCCGTTGTATGCTATTGGGGTGTCGTGCCGTTGTATGCTATTGGGGTGTCGTGCCGTTATATGCTATTGGGGTGTCGTGCCGTTGTATGCTATTGGGGTGTCGTGCCGTTGTATGCTATTGGGGTGTCGTGCCGTTGTATGCTATTGGGGTGTCGTGCCGTTGTATGCTATTGGGGTGTCGTACTAGGGTTGAGTGTCACAGGATCGAATTCTCAATCGAAACTTGTCACTAAAACTGAATACAAGGCCTATTTATATTCAGAAAGTACAAGGATAAACGAGATAAAACGAACCTTCAGGAACACACCCTTCCCGATACTACAATCACAAGTGCGCATAAGCACGCAAGGCTATTGGCACTTGAGATTACGCCCAGATTACACCATATACACCACTGTCGGCGCTGTCGGTGCCGTATAATAAGTATGTCGGTGGAAAAAGTATGAAATAAGAGAAATAAATAGGAGGCTCTAGAAAATAGAATAGTAGGCCGATTGAGATGAGATAAAGACCAAAATAAAGAGGAGAAAAGGGAGAATAGGATAACAGAAAAATATAATAGTGAGAAAATATTATAACGGGGACGTCCTCTCACACTTCCCCCCCTCAAAGCTGGGTGGTAGAAGTAACACCCTGATTTACAAGGTAGTCCTGGAGAGGACGGCGGGCGTTATCCATGTCGTGTTCAGGTACCCAGCTATCCTCGGAAGGATCATAGCCTTTCCAACGAATCAAGAGCTCCAAGGTGCCGCTACGTCGTCGTCGGTGCGCCAGAACGGCTTCGACTTCGTACTCGGGTTCCCCATTAACGATCACTGGCAGTGGCGGCGGCGGCTGGCGACCTTTGAAGACCGTGTTTGGGTCCCGATAGGGCTTGAGAAGTTGAACATGGAAGGCATTGTGAATTCTCCAGGTAGCTGGTAAACGCAAGCGGAAGGTTACTGGAGTGACCTGCGCCTCGACGAGAAAAGGTCCGCAGAAGCGAGGTCGGAGCTTAGACGGAAGATGGCTAATGTCGATATTGCGTGTATCCAGAAGCACTTGATGGCCAATCTTGATGGAATGATCGTTGCGACTCCGATCAGCGAGTTTCTTTTGTTGCTGCTGGATAGTCAGAAGACGTTTATGCGTGCGCTCCCACAATTGGTGCATAGTGGAAATGAAATCATGTGCGGGTTGCACCGTGGCGGGTACTGCTGGTTTCTGAGTCGTGAGTGGGTTGCGACCGTTACAGAGGAAGAAAGGAGTTTGCCCTGTTGCGGCGTGCGTGGCGTTGTTATACGCAAAGTCGAGAACCGGCAGATGTGCATCCCATTTAGAGATATCGTCCTTACACGCTGCTCGCAGAAGCTGTTCGACAATCTGGTTGAGGCGCTCTGTTTGACCATCTGTTAGGGGATGATAGGCTCATGACATGGCGAGTTTGGTCCCCATGAGCGACATGAGCTCCTTCCAGAATTTACTCGTGAATTTCGGATCTCTGTCGGAGATCAGCGTGGTTGGAATGCCATGTTGCGAGATGACGTGGCGGAAGAATAATTGCGCTGTCTCCTCGGTGCGAGCCGTTGTGTGTGTCGGAATGAAGTGTCCCATTTTGGAGAATTTATCGATGACGACTAGAATGGCGTCGTAACCGGCTTTGGTAGGTGGTAACCTAGTGATGAAGTCGAGGCTAACCACTTGCCAAGGCTGCTCAGGGACCGGAAGAGGCTGTAGCAACCATGCTTTCTTCTGTTTGCTGCTCTTCATCCGTTGGCATATGTCGCACGAGGTGACGAATTTTTGTACGTCATCCGCCATGTGGGGCCAGTAATAATGCTTTGAAATACCGGCAAGCGTCTTGTTACTATCGAAGTGGCCCGCGTAGAGAACATCATGATATTCTTCGAGCAGTAACTGGCGTAAGGGAGGGTAATTAGGTACCCATATTTTTGTTGAGCCCTTGCGGTATGCGATGTCTTGATCCCATTGTAGAAGATGGCGCTTTTCTGCAACAGAGACTTCGGGGTCGATGGTGTATCCATGCGTGAAGAGTCCCTTCAAAAGTGGGTTCATGCCATCGATTTGTAAGGCGGCAACGTGTGCAGGGCGACTCAGTGCGTCTGCCTTGTTCTTGTGCCCCGGCTTATACACGATGTCGTAATGGAAGTGGGTTTCGAGAAAGTCAATCCACCGGACCTGCCGCCTGGAGAGTGTTGGTTGGGTCTTCAGGTACTTGAGACTGCAGTGGTCGGTGTAGACGGTCTTTTTTCGTCCTTCGAGATAACACCTCCATGCCTTAAATGCGTTGACGATGGCGAGGGCCTCTTTGTCATGGATGGGGTAATTGAGTTCTGCCCCGTGAAGTTTCTTACTGAGGTATGCAATGGGTTGCAGTCCCTTCCCTTGATCCTGCATGAGTACTGCGCCCACTGCTTGATCGCTAGCATCGGCCTCGATGACATAGTCAAGTTCAGGGTCTGGCAGGATAAGGACAGGTGCGGACGTGACTGCGGTTTTAAGTTGTTCCACGGCTTCCTGGTGCTTCGCCTCCCATTGATATGGTGTATTCTTCTTCAACAGGTTCGTTAATGGTGCGGCAATCTTGGCGTAGTTCGGTACGAACCGGTTGTAGTAGTTGGCGAATCCAAGGAACTGTTGTAACTCCTTCACGTTCTTAGGGGTCTTCCACGTTCGCACTGCTTCGATCTTCTTAGGATCCACGTGAACTCCTTGAGCGCTCACCATATGTCCAAGGAACTGGACTCTTTTCAACGCAAACTCGCTCTTGGATAGTTTCACGTAGAAGCGTTCTTGTCGAAGAATTTCAAACACCCGTCGTAGATGCTCAACGTGCTGCTTCATATCTTTCGAGTAGATCAGGATATCGTCCAAATATACCACTACGCACTCGTCCAGAAGGGGCCGAAGGATGTGGTTCATTTCCGCCTGAAATGTGGCTGGTGCGTTTGTGAGTCCGAATGGCATCACGAGATACTCGTATGACCCGTACCGAGTTCGAAAAGCGGTTTTGTGGATAGAGTTGTCAGCCATACGAATTTGCCAGTATCCTGATCTGAGGTCGAGCTTGGAGAATACCGTAGCACCGCGAAGTTGATCGAGTAAGTCGTCGATCCGTGGTATCGGGTATTTATTTTTTACAGTCTGTTTGTTCAAGGCTCGGTAGTCGATGCACATTGGTAGACTTCCATCTGGCTTCGGAGTGAAGAGAACTGGAGCTCC